GAATGAGATGGATATTGGCGCCACTCTCCAAGGGAGATAAGCCACAAGATCTTCACCATTATGGAAGGATCCACCAATAAAAAGTAAACTCAAGATCTCTACCAAAATCACTTAAGAGAAAAAGAAGTTTCTCAAAACTCACTAGATTTCATCAAATCTGAAAAATGAACCAAAGTTACCAAAATACAAAGGAAAAGTGTCTTATATAGGCAACAAGCTACACTAGCTATTGGGCTAGGCCCAACTACACAAGAAGGCAAAATCCAAAGTTACAAAATACACTATGAGACCTAAGAATCATGAATGATACAAGGAAATAAGAATAGGTCTTCAAAGTGTGGCCTTCTATGGGTTTGGGTCCAAGATGACTCACTAGGCCCACAAGCTTGCCTAGGGCTTCTTTTGTCTTCTTAACCCTTGACCTAGTCATAGGACCTTGAAGTTCCTTCAAAGCATCCTCCACTTGGCTTAAGCTCTCCAAGCTAGTGAGATCATCATCACATAGTGGAGTCGTGGTATTGTACAGTGCTACAACTGTGGTAAATTTGGCCATTATTGGAATCAATGCACTCATCCTCCACAGAATCAGTTGTTTTTTCACTCACAAGGTAATTCTCGCTTTGCTAACTCAGTGTCTCAACCTAATAAAGCTACTTAAGAGAAAGAATGACGTAATGTGCGTATGAATGATGAGAAATTTATTCAATATACTCAGTTTCAGATTTCTCAACAGTCGTCTACATCCTCTACAGCCACTTTTGTCCAAAAAGGTAATCCTACTGCATGCCTTTCTTCTTTTTACAGGCACTGGGTCATTGATTCTAGTACTATTGATCATATGACTAAAGATTAAGGTATCCTTTCCTCTTTTTGTCTACCTAGTTCTCATGCTTTTGTAACACTCACTGATGGTTCTAGTGTCGATATTAAGGGCAGCGGGTGTACCACCCCAGTTTCAACCTTACCTTTATTCTTAGTTTTATATTTGCCTCAATTCCTCTTAAATTTGTTGTCCATTAGCCAAATCACTTTATCATTAAATTGCTCAGTAACATTCTTTTTTTATTCTTGTGTTTTTAAGGATCTGGTGACACAGAGGATTATTGCTAGAGGTAGAGTATATAATGGGTTGTATCTATTGGAAGAAGAAGGACTTTTGCAAGCTTCTATTGCTTCTAGGAATGAAAAAGTGTTTCCTTCCCAACTCCATTGCCTTCTGGGTCATCCGTCTTTAGGAGTTCTTAGGAAATTATGTCATAATATATAGTGTAATTTTTATTATGAGTCATGTCAATTTGCTAAACATCATCGAAATGTTTATTTACCTTGTTTAAATAAAAGGGCTCATGCTCCTTTTAAAATTGATCATTCTGATGTTAAGGGTCCTTGTCTAGTTACTTCTAAATCTTGTTTTAAATATTTTATTACCTTTGTGGATGATTATTCTCGTGTAACATGGCTATTTTTTATGAAATTCAAATCTAAAGTCTTTTCTATATTTTATAATTCTTGTGCTGAAATTAAAACTCAATTTAATGCTTGTGTGCGCATTCTTGGAAGTGATAATGCTAAAGAATATTTTTCTGCATCCTTCACTAATTTTATGAATAAACATGGCATACTTCATTGGTCCTTTTGTCTTGTTACCCCACAACAAAATGGATTAGTTGAACGTAAAAATTGTCATCTTATGGAGGTAGCCCATGCTTTAATGTTTGAAATGAAAGTTCCTAAACCTTTTTGGGCTGATATTATTCTTACTACTGCATATTTAATTAATCGCATGCCATCATCTATGTTACATGGTGAGATTCCCCACTCTATACTTTTCCCATCATAATCTCTTTTTTCTTTACCTCCTAAAGTTTTTGCCTGCACTTGTTTTGTGTTTGATGTTCATCCTCAGATAATTAAAATTGATCCAAAGTCCCTAAAATGTGTTTTTGGATTATTCTCGATCACAAAAAGGTTATCGTTATTTTTCACCTAATGTTAGTTGTTATCTTATTTCCTCTGATGTGTCTTTCTTTGAAAGTCTTCCATTCTTTAAGTCCTCATCTTCTGAGTCCATGTATGAGGTAGATGAACCTTTCTTGACTTATACGCTTGTCCAACCTATATGTCACAACCTTTTTTTTTATAAAAGATCAATGACATTATGAATCATAACTCCCAATTTACTTTCATTAACAAGATAATACTAGTACGTTGCAAATAATATAAATTTTTAAAAGAAAGTTCTGACTTCAATATCCAATCCGCAAAATAACTAAGCTCCAAAGGAAATACAAAAATGATATAAGTGTATGTACATAATTACAACAGTTACTCAAAGTGGATCTCAAAATACAAAGTCTTCGTATAATATTTACCTCAAAACATTATGTCTATAGCCAAGTGGCATAGTTTCACACCAAAGCCTAGACTAATAGAAACTAAGCTACATATTTCCAAAGTCTTCAACCCAGACTACTCCTTAGCCAGAATCCCTAGCATGAAAAGCAGACACTCCACCTATCACTTCTGCTCATGGGTCGTTGTACAATCGTTGCAACACATACACAATACAAACAAGAGCAAGGGTAAACTTACACAACAAAAGATCTTATTCATAAGAATAATAGAAATGTAACATATTTATATGTAACTTAATGCATCAATGCTCAACAAAACATTTTCATCCTTAAGTCAATTTCTTGCTCAAAAAAATGGTACAGTAATGTTAATCAATTAATGCAGCATGTTTAACCCGTTATTAACTCATGAAATACCAACAACAATAACAATACTAGCAATAATGTCAACCACAACAATTATAACAACAATTTAGTTCCATTTGGCATCACAATATTAGTGAATATAAAAAATTAATATTAAAATTTTTTTAAATCCACGTAACGGTCAAACAATTTTGATAGAGTAATGGATCCACCTTCAACGTTACTTGGATCGTAAGGATTTATTGAGTAGCAGTGTGCTAATTTAAACCCTGTACAAGAGTAAATTTATCTAAAAAAATAATAAAGAAAAATAAAGTTTCTCCAAAACAAAAACAAAATTTTTTTTTAAAACTTATCAAAAACTCAGTTTAAAAAAAAAAGAATTATGTGACAATTTTGATTCTACCATTACATACATACGTAGGAGTAAAAATCTGACCCATTAAGTCTAAATTTTTTTTTAAAATTTAAATTATTTTTAAAAAAAAATTAAACTATGAGTAATTTAGAATAATTCTAACATGTTTTCAAATTAAATTTTTTTTTTCAAACATGTTTTCCCGTATTAAATCTCCGTAGAGAACTTCACATCATAAATGTACTGAGGCTGCTGCCAATCTTGACGAAGACTTTATTACGTGTGAACGCTTCTTCCTCGAAATAAAACAAATTATGAGTTGACCATGACTATAAAAAATAATATTTAAATACTTATTTTAAAAATTATGAGTTTTATTAATTTTAATTTTTAAAATTGAATTTAAATATTTATAGAAAAATATATTTATCATATTAAAATTATAAAAATATAATAAATATTTTTTAATAAAATTTTATTATTAGTAATTATTTATTTTTAATTTTAAAAATTAAAAACTAAAGTTAAGTCACGTCAGAGTATCACTCTTACGTTTTTATTCGAAAATTTTACTTTAAGAATATTAATTTTTCTTTGTCCTTATATTAGTTGGAATCACACGTCTCAGACAATTCTCATATCATAACTTCACATTAATGCATTGGTACTGCTGCCACTCCTGACGATGACTTAATCATGAACGCTTCTTCCACGAAATAAAACAAATACAACATATATTTTAGTATATTTTTATAATTAGTTAATTTTTAAAAATTAATTCATAAGATATGTATTTCATTATTTAAAATTAATCTAATTACACAGAATGTATTTGTGTCCAAAAGCATATTATTAACATTGCTTTAAAATTATTCAAAATATTAAAGATAAAAAATAAAAAAATTCACAAGAGTAATAAAATGAGTTAGCGTAATAAATTATTTAATTAAACCTGTGAGTCATTAAAGTGTATTTAATTAGGTAATACAAATAAAAAATAAATTTGTAATGTAGTATCTTAAATTTTTTTTTTATAAGTATCGCATCTAAAAAAATTATACTAATAAAAAAACATATAATAAATTATAAAAAATATAAATTATTATATATAATTTATTTAAAATTATATTATTTATATTATTTACTAGATGATCCTATTATTTATAAATATAAATATATATTATTTAGATATATTTGTAATATATATATATATATATATATATATTGTATATTAATTTTTTATTTGTTTTATAAATTTTTAGTTTCAAATAAAATATAATGTATATTTAAGTAATTTTTATTTATCATGAATAAAAAAATTATAATATAATATATTAATATAATAATTAAATAATTGAATATTATTATTAATAAAAAATAATTAAATATTAATTATAATAAAATAAAAATATAAAAAATATATTAATATAATATTTTTATTTTATTTTAAAATTTTAATTTGTTTAATTTTAATTATGTTCCTTTCTTACTAAAAAATTTAATTATTTTTCAGTTTATTTAAATATAACAAATATAATAATTTATTATTTAAATAAGTATTTAAATATTTTTAATTTTAAATAAAATATAATTAATATTAATATATTATAACATAATATATTAATAATAATAAAATTAAGAATATAAAAAATATATTAATATAATATTATTATTTCATTTAATTTTTATTACATCTTATTTTTATTTGAAGATTTAATATTTTTTAACTTATTTTAAATATAAAAATTTAGTATTAAATAAATTTATTATTTAAATATATAGCTAAATATTGTTATTAAAGTTTTGGTTAATGGGGCTTATAGATTTTTAAAGATAATACAGAATATATTAAACAAGTAGAATTGTGTCACTATCCATGCACTTTATTTAAGAATAATTGTAGGTGTTCTTTTGCTGAGTACATACGCTAACAGGGCTTTGGCTTCCTCCGTTTCCAATCTCAAAATCTACGCATTGCAGCTTTAGTTTCGATACAGTCTCTCTCGATCATTTCAAGGATGGCTGAGTCAATTCCATTTGCTGTTACTTCAAATCTCATTCACAGGTTCCTTTCCGCACCCTTTCTTCAACCTTTTAACTCTATTTACCGTACCTTTCCATTGCTCTTCCAAGGCGTCATAGCTGAGCCTTAAATCTCACAAGTTTCTCTCAGTTGTTAAACTCATTAACTTAGAACCAAACACACTGTTAATCCTGTGTTCTTTTTATTCTGTCTTATAAACTGTTTAGTATGTATTTTATTTTATTTTTTTAATCTCTGTTTATTTTAGATTTCTCTTTACTTCTAATTGTTTTCAACACAGTTTTGTGTGTGTTTTTTTTTAAATTTCTCTGATGGTTGGCATGTGAAGTTTATTTTGTGGTATTGTTTTTGTGTTTTTATTTTTAACTGTGAATTTTATTCTTACGCTTTCTTTTATCTCTTTTATAAGCACCCTTTTTTTTTCTGCATAGTTTTCAATTATCCTTATTTTGTTTTTTGAGTTTTAACCATTCACTTTTTTTATTTTTTTCTCAAGGTAAGTTTCTAACTTTTTCTTAAAAAAAATTAGTATTTAAAGTTTGTTAAAGCATACAATTCAATCATGATAGTAAAAAAAAAAAAAAACTAATGTATAATGTTTATTAAAAAAAAGTTAAATATAAAAAGATGAATTAATTTGTTATTCCACACATATTCTTTTCATTTTTAATTAAGTCCTTCTAGTTAAATTGTTTTTAATTAAAGTCTATATCTCTATTAAATATCAATGAGATGATATTTTCAATTTACTAACCTATTACTTTATTTTAAATTTTCTTTTTTATGATTAATTTATATAGTTAAATTTCTCTAAATTCTCAAATCCTTTTATTACTACGTGATAAAATATAATTACCAAATTTAACTCAACTTAGCGTAGCTTTCCATTGCTGTTCCAAGCCAAGGCTTCATAGGCAAGCCTTAAATCTCACGAATTTCTCTTAGTTGTTGAACTCATTAACTTTGTACCACACACTCTTTTAATCATGCGTGTTTTTTTATTCTTTCATATAAACTGTTTAGTTTGTATTTTATTTTTCTAATCTCTGTTTTTTTATATTTCTCTTGACTTCTAATTGTTTTTAACACAGTTTTATGTCTGCGTTTTTAAATTTCTCTGATGTTGGGCATGTGATCTGTTAATATATTATTTAAAAAATATTTTATTAGAATAGATAATGTCGTCTAAATATACCACAATCATATTCTTCTGAAGAAATTACAAACAAATGGATATATTATGATATTCTCATTTCTATTTTTGAAATTATATATCTCTTCCCATAAAAAATTAAAACATCATATTTTCTATTTTATGATTTTTGTAAAGCATTGTTTAGCATTTACATGTCTTTACTTTATTTTTTTTATATATAGTCTATTTTTTATTTAAATGCCTTTATTTTTCAAAAAAATTTCACTTTACCTTTTTCTTTGAATACGCCAACGTTGTAACTCATCTGCATCTTATACCTTTCTTCAGATGTGAGAATTTTAGCTTTATTTCATTATTTACTTCTGAGACAAAATTTTAAAATTTTTATAACAATAATAAGTATTTATTGTTTCATAAAAAATACATTGAGTCCACTGAGCCTTCTGAAAAATTTAAAAAAGGGGTAAATTTATTCAAAGAATTATTTTAGTAAAAAAATTCAAATAAATATTTATCAATGCTTTAACCAAAAGTTTAAAATAGATTAAATTGTGATGATTTTAATTTTAAAAGATTATATAATTTTAAAATAAAAGAGAAAGTAGTGTAATATGCATCTTTTAAGAGAGAAAATTTTAATTTAATTATTTATGTATTGTCTAAAAAATTTTTATTTTATTGTTTCTAAACCAATCGTGACTCTAATATTTTAAGAAATTAATCAAAATAAATATCAAGTTGAACCAAATTCCATTTTCAGCTTTTTAAAAATATTGAATAAGGATATGTATATTATATTACCCTCATTTCTATTTTAAAATTATATAACGTCGTCTCATAAAATAAATTAAAATGTATTACATTTTAATTCATTTTAAGGTTTTTGTAAAGCAATGATAAACACTTGTATGTCCTACAAAAGACAATGACCTTTATGTCCATTGAAGCCTACAATCCTAGATTTTAGTTTAACATCAAAATAAAAAAATCCATCGTCTTATAGCAAAAAGTAAATGACCTTTATACTAAGACTAGCGCCACACCAAAATTATGTGTCAACAAGAATCAAAAACCAAAAAATTAAAGGAGAAAATTTGAAACTAAATACAAGACAAAAATTACACAGGAATAGATACGAAGTGTAAATTGAGAAAATATAATCACAAATTTTTTTTGTATGAATGCAAAACCCTTTTGTTTCATACAAAAAAAAACGTAATTTAAGAGATGATGTGTGAAAAAACATGCTTTGATTGAGTAAAATTATAAAAATGATAAGAGAATTGACAAAGGAGTTGATTGCAAAAATAAATGTTTTTGGAATTTAAGAGAAAAGAGAGAGCGTAATCGGAAGGCCGAATAGAAAGGATGAAGAGTTTCGCATTGTCCAAATAGAGAAGATGAAAATGACTTCTATTTTTTCAAATGTTAACTTTTTCATGTAATAAAATATTAAAAATAATAATGATATGACCTAAAATATTAAAGATTAAATGTTAATAATTTTTTAAAACTGTATTATAATAATAATAATAATAATAATAAGACAATATTAACGTAGACTCATAAATTAAAAGAGGAAGTTAAAATATTAAAGATTAAATGTTAATATTTTTTTAAAAGATTAATTTTAAAGAGTACTACTCTTATAGTAACAAAAAGACATAATTAAGATTATATATAATTTTAATATTTACACAAGATAATATTTTAAATTATCTTTTAATAATCATAGAAATATTGATAAATAATTACAAAGACAATGATAATAATTAACTTTTAATAATTAGGAGATATTTTTAACACACTCACTCAATTTAGTGAATGAGTATCTATCATTCCAAATTGTGTAAAATGTCTTAGAATTGTTTAGCTTTCAATTTTTTAGTCAACATGTCTATTAGTTGATCTTTAGAAGAGACATAATCAATAGCTATGAGACCACTATCCAATTTATCTTTAATGAAATATTAATCAATCTTTATATGTTTTATGACAAGATTATGAACTATGTTTATGACGCACTTATTATCACACAATAGTTTTATAGAACCAATGAATTTTAATTTAAGATCATCAAGATAGATATTTATTTGTAAAAGTTCACACTTCTTGAGCCATAGCTTGGAATTCAGCTTTCACACTTGAGTTGATCACAACACTTTGTTTCTCCTCCAGTGTTACTAGATTTTCTCTTAAAAATATACAATATCTTGAAGTGAATTTTCTATCTACAATGGAACTTGCATAATGAGTGTTTGTATATACGTTCAAAGCAAGAGAGTCTCTCCCCTTTTAAAGAGAGTGTCTCATTCAGGACTTCCTTTTCAATACCAAGAAAATTATTTACTTCTTGTCAATGTCTTTCACGTTGATCATGCACAAATTGGCTAACAATACTAACAAATATGGAATATTAGGTCTAGTATGAGATAGGTAGATTAACTTTCCTATTAGTCTTTGGTATTAGGCTTTGTCTACAATAGGACTTTTTTCTTCTCCTCTTATTTGACATTTTTGCTCTATAGGTATTCCAATAGCCTTAAATTCCAGTGTTTCAGTCTCCACGAGAAGATTTAGAATATATTTGTCTACAATAGTTTTAACCATCCTACTTTTTATATTCTAAAAATAAATAACATTTTATTGTACAATGGAGAATAAATTAATTTTATTCAGTTTTAGAAATATAATTATATGAAAAAATTTGAATTTTTCTTAGATTGAACATAATTGCAATATATATTTTTACCATTTTTACTATTTAGATCATAAATATTCGTAATGAATAAAAATAAATTTATAAAATAAAACAAGTAGCATAAAAATACAATGACATTGAAACTTTCTTGAAAATGAGTTCTTTCATAATACTTTGCTAAGAATATTAAAAATATATTTTTCACAATTTTGAAATTGAACATAAAAATAATAGAATTGTTGAAATTAATTGATAAATTTTACAAATATAATTTAAATTATTATTTACAACAATCTCTATCAAACCTCTCAATATTTAAATTCATCATACATTATGTACATATCAGAAATTTAACTCTAAAATTTAATCAAAACTTTCACAACTTTAATATAATTTAAAGCCTACAGAGTATACTCCTCCTTGCAACGCCACTGAGAATATAATCCTAGAGCATACCATCCTTCATTTTAAATTTCTGAAAAATGGTTGTAAGGGTGAGCAATCCCACTCTCAATAATTCTTTAGTTTAAAGGTAATTCAAATTAAAAATAAGAGACATAGATTCTTGTACCAACATAGTAAATAATATTATTTTCAATACAAAATTCAAAAAATCATAGCAACAACAATCAGATTAATTATACTTTAAATTACACACTGATATAATATCAATCTAAACTTTTTCACTAACATACATTCCACAGATCAATAGATTATTCTATCCATTACTATTACATCAAATACTTATAATTTCCGCACCACTTCATTCATTTCATATCGAGCAGTATGTTATAATAAGTGCATTATAACAATATTAATTAATGCATTATAATACATGTATTATAATTACACCTGTCGATATATTACAATATCTGTATTATAATTACATTGATTAATCTATGATGATTCACCTATTATAAACACACATCTCATACATTCACATTCATTGCCTTTGGGATCCCTTGAGGTCTTACATATGTATAGATAGTTATTGGTTAGCCGCAATAACACAGATACAACGTGTATTCTCCTGACCACTTTTAGCAAAGGTATAATTAGGAGTCTCGTCAGGAGATGAGTGTGTGGCCTGTAAATGCTTTTCCATTCAGCAAATCTTTTTGCACTTTCTTACAATTAGCATTCATCACCCTCATTTCTCCAAAA